CAGGGGAGGGGGCAGAGCATGCGGCCATGCCATGCAGCGCCCGGGCATCGGATCCGGATCCGAATCGAATCTGATTCGGATGACGTAGGCTCAAATAATGCACGGCAAAACGGCTGTTAGTGAGAGGTGGCTGGTCCGGTGCGAGCATCTCACTCCACTACTAGTCGTCCTCAGACTCATTTGTGCATCCGATGCCCGTCGCAGGGCACAGCAGGACAGGCGGCAGGCTCGGTCAGGGAGGCGGCAGGCACCCTGGCACCCTACCCACCTGTCTCGCAGTTCGACCCGTGGAAGCCGTGCGCGCACTCGCAAGAGTTCGTCTCTGTGACGAACACACCTCCGTTGGCGCACATGGACGAGTCGAACTCGTAGAGGTCTGCGGGGGACAACACAAACAAAGTGGCCCTGAAATCGAGCAGAAAATTCGTTACAACTTGCAGGCTCAGCACAGCACGCACCGAGGAATTCGAATGTCATGTTGGCGCGGGAGAGGAGCAGTTCCCGGTGTTTCTTGATGTACAGCCGGTTCATGGTTTTGGAGAGAGCCACTTTAGTAGCCGACATCGCGGTGCGGCCGTTGAACAGCTGGACGGTGAGGAGCGCGTCGGAGGTCCGGGTCACGAGGAGCTGAGTGGAAGCCGGAAACTGCTTGTTGACGTCGCTGTCCTTGTTAACGTTCTGCCCGCCAGCCGTGTATCCAGTACGAAAAATAAATGTTTTAGAAAAAGAAGAAAAATATTATTATCAGCCTCGCCGAGCCTCACATTCGAACTCAGAGCAGCAACGTGTCCTTACACCATCGACTCGCGTTCCGCCCCAACCGTCGCTGTCACAGTTCACAAAGGACTTGTAGCGGATGGCGGGCTCCTTGTAGGGTTCGACGCTCCACCACTCCACCTTGCCGCAGGCTTTGTTGTCGCACATCATGAAGAGCACCACCCCGCCGCCCTCCCCTGCCACGTTGAGTCGCACCAACACCCGCTCCCCGACCTCGACAGTGTCACCTTGCTCCCGGGCACCGACGACCGACGCCGTGAGCATCACCACGACCGCCGTGGCGGAGACCGCGGCGCAGAGCGCGTGGAACGGCGGCATGCTGCAGC